GAGCAACCTCACCATATCTACCTCATTCTTCCTGAGGCAGTCTCTCAGGCGAACACAGTTCACTGACATGGCTAGTCTTGCTAACCAGCTATCTCTGGGGATCTCCTGTCTCCACTTGCAAAGGTGGAATTACAGGCAGGTGTCTCACCCCTGACCACCCTTTGCATGGACTTCTGGGAATCCAGTCTCCAAACTTCACTGTGAGTAAACACTCTCAGCCGGTGGTTCTCACCCTTCTTAATGCTCTGACCCTTTACTGCAGCTCCTCCTGTTGTGGTACCCAATCATAAAATTTGCTGCTGTTTTATAACTGCAATTTTGCTAATTCTATGAATTGTAATGTAAATATCTGTGTTTTCTGATGGTCTTAGTGAGCCTGTGTCAGGCTCGTTTGACCTCCAGGTTGAGAACCACGGCTTAACCTACCGAGACATTTCTCCAGCCCATCCTCCTTTCTTACAGCAGGGAAACCTGCACGCCTGTGCCAGCTAATTACACTTTCCTAAATGAAAGGTCAACTTAACCTCCTTTGTATCAGAATTAAGAAGATGGTAGAAGAGGAACCAGTCTTGCATTGAGAGTCATGGATGGAGGGAAAATGCAGATCATCCTTTGACCATCACGTGCGTGCTGTGGCTTTGTGTAAAGACTTAAGCAGTTTGGTTCAGGACGTGAGGAAATATGCTATGGTGAGATGAAGACAGACAAACACTCCCAACAAACGTTCTCTCTAAGATTATGTCATCAGGAATGCAAGAGATGTTGCTGCATCTGCTTATCACATAAGAAGACGTTTACCCCCTGTGAAGAATCAGCAGACTGTTGATGAATCCCTTCACTCATTTATCCAAGGCGATGGTGAGTGGAATCTGGACCACAAAGATTATATTTTGAAATATTAGCAACACCAGAGATCTGTGTTGCATGTTTAAAAACTAAATCTGTGGGTCACAATTGTTTAAATTTATTCAGTGTGGGACTAAAAGGCTGGCATAGCTGTTAAGAGAGTGGTTTCTTTCAGAGGTCCTGAGTTTGGTTACCAGCACATATGACAGGTTGGTTACAACAGCTGGTGACTCCATATCCAGAGAGCTAGCGCCCTCTTCTGGAATCCAAAGGCAGTGCTATCACTCGCACACACACACACACATAGAAGAGGGGAGGGTAGAGGGAGGGAGGGAAGAAGGGAGAGAGGCATGTAATTTAAAGTAACAAAAATAAATCTTTTTAAATTTCACTAGGTGTGATGTCAAGAATTTTATGGCCAGGCAGATGTAACCTGATTTTCATTTAATACATTTTTTTTTCACGTAGAAAATCAGTTCTTGTATTGTATACCATATATGAATACCATCTAATCCTTATTTTTATAGCTTTCAATCAATTATGTTTTCAGATATACTCATTATCCAGTGTGTATGTCATGCCACAGAGCCTGTATGGAGGTCTAAGGGCGACCTGTGGGAGTCAGATCTCTCCTTTTACCATGTAGTCTTCAGGGAGTGAACTCATATCACCAGGCTTGGGGTCACGTGTTTTTATACACTGGGCCATCCCATCAGCTCTTGATAGTTTATTTACAATGAAGTATTACTTAATGAATATTTGATTATTTTATAAAATAGTCCTTTCAGGTGTTTGGATTTTATATTCTGCTTCTTTTAAACACTTCTCTAGTTCAAAGTTCAAAGACTCAGGGCCGGAGAGGCAGGTCAGTGGTTAAGCATGTTTTTGACCTTTTCAGAGGACCTGAGTTCAGTTCCCAGCACACACATAATGGCTTACAACCATCTGTAATTCCAGTTCCAAGAGATCCTATGTCCTCTTCTGGTCTCTGTGATCGCCACACACACGTGGTGCATTCCAGCAAACACGGAATTATACTTATGAAATCAGGTTTAAAAATTATTTTTTAAATGTAGGTATAAGCATGTAGTTTTTTCCTCTAAAAAAAAAAGCACATGTGGGTTTTCATGACCAATGTCATAATTTTATTACAGGCCTCTAGAGGTAGAACTTGACAGACCTTACCTTCCTCAAAGTATATACCATTTGGGAATAATAGTGATGAAATAAAAGTTCAGTCGTATTTTTATTTTTCTCCCCTATCACACTAGTTGCTTCTGGATCTTGGTTTGATCACATCCTTGGATGGATAAGGAGAAGAGACATAGATAACTTCCTCCTAATGTCCGATGAGGAGCTACAGTGGGTAATTCCTTTTTATTCTGCTTCCCGTATTTCCCAAATCTCCTCTCTTCCTTTCCTTTCTATTTCTCTTGGGTAAATAATCAGGTCAGTGGGAGACTGTCAGAGTAGGCATTAGCTGTCAATTCACACACCCGGGAGAGGAAATGCCTCCTCGATGTCTGTGGGCAAGTGTGGGGGGCATTTTCCTGATTAATTAATGTATGGGGGCCTAGCCCACCCTTGGAAGTTCTATAGCCACAGGCAGCTGGGCTTGGGGTGTAGAACGGTAGGTGAGTAGGCCAGAGGGAGAAATTCGTAAGCAGCTTTCCTCCATGATCTCTGCTGCAGCTCCTGGCTCAGGCCCCCTGACCCGGCTTCCCTCACAACCTGTAAGCCAAATAGCCCCTTTCTCCCCTAGGCTGTTCTTTTGGCCAGTATTTTATAACAGAAAACCAAACTAAAACATGAAAGATATGTGAAATACAGCCTTCCATTGCCAGTCTGTGGTGGCATTCTCTCCATTAGCTGTGCCACCCTTGGGGAGGTGGCTCTGAGTTGTATGAGGAAAAAGCAGTCTGAGCAAACCATAGGGATCAAGCCAGTACGCATCATTCCCCCACACTATTTCACTTTCTGCCTCAGTTTCCCCTGATGAAAACTGTAGGCCAAAGGAACCCTTCCAGCCCCCGTGTTGCTTTTGGTGTGTTTTGTTAAAGCAATGGAGTGAGAATTAGAATAATATCCTTTTGAGTTGCCTACTGGCTCATATCACAAAACTTAAGAGCAAAAGATTTTTAACTTCTGGCTCCCCCTTGGTAGAGTTTAGAGCAGATATATTTGTACCTAGTTTCCGAAACTGAATTGTTTGAAAGGAATTAAAAAGTATTTAAAATATTTTAGATTTTTTATATGCGTGTTTTGGCTTTGTGTGTGCGCGCCACGCTTGTGCTGGTGCTTGAGAAGCGGTGAGCCTCCATGTGGGTGCCCAGGGCCTATGCATCAACAATAAGTGCTCTGAAGCGCTGAGCTAGCTCTCCAGCCCGTAAACCATCATTTTAATACTTCAGTCAGCTCAGATGATGAATTAGTATTGGAGGGAACCAGCGGGAGAGAAGTGTGTGCTTGCCTGAGCTTTAAATCTACTTTAGAAGAAACTCACAGAAAGAGTCATCACTTTTCTGGTCAGAACTCCAAACAGGTGGGGGGCTCCAGCGGCAGCTCAGCAGATGGGAGTGTCCCCACACCCACACCAGCGCCCGGGGGATTTAGTGCCCTCTGGTGGCCTCTGTAGGTAACTACAGGCTTTTTAAATTATTTATATCCTGATGGCAGTCCCCACCTTCCTCCCCTCTCTCACAAACCCTCCACGCCAAGCTACTGTTCTCCCCTCTCCTTCTCCTTAGAGAAGGCACCACGGGTACCAGCCCGCCCTGACACATCCTCTCCCACTGAGGCCAGACAAGGCAAACGGGATCCAAAGAGAGGCATCAGAGCCAGAGCCGGTCCCCGGTCCAGTTGTCAGGGGCTCCACATGGAGACCAAGCTGCGCGTCTGCTACATGTGTGCAAAGGGCGGAGGCCCAGTCTCTGGTTCAGTCTCAGTGAGCCCCGTGGGCCCAGGTTAGTTAACGCTTCTTGTGGAGTCCTTGACTCCTCCGGCTCCCTCAGACAGCGCGTCAACTCTCCCATGCGACTCCTTGAGCCCTCACGTTTGGCTGTGCCTCTCTGCATCTGTTTTCATCCGCTGCTGGGTGGAGCCTCTCAGCCTCCAAGGGCGTCTGGACACACGTGGTATGGTATAGACATGCACACCCAGCTGCACACAGGACCATCAGATACATACTGTTTCGAAGAAAACGTAATTTAAATATCATTCAGTGGCTCTCAGCCTTCCCCATACTGTGCCTCTTTGCTATAGTCCCTCTCATGTAATTTTCCTGCTGTCATGAATCGTAATGTAATTATCTGACATGCTGGATATCTGACATGCAGCCCCTTTCACAAACCGTAAGTTCAGAACTGCTGGCTCTAGATTACTAAATTTTAAATTATCAAACAGGACTGACCTATTTACTGTAATTTACAGCAATGGTCATAGTGACTAACAGCTAACGTGTAAAGGTTTGTGTGTGTGTATTTGTGTGTGTGCATGCATGTAGGTGCGTGTGGAGGCCAGGAGAGCACACCAGAACAGCAGAGCTGGCGCTGTAGGCAGTTCTGAGCCACACAGTGTATGTGCTGGGGTTTGAACTCCAGTCTTCTGAAGAGCAGGGAACACTTTCAACCACTGAATTATCTTCCCAGCACCAAAGACAAGACTCAGGTCTGGTCCCGGGAACTTATAGAAAGAAACTGAGATCACTTTCCCGAAATGATGGATGCACGCTTTTAACCATTAGGGAATCTAGATATTACATTCCTGCCTTCCACTGTGGTGTCCGTGACTCTTAAGATCACGGCGTGGATGCAGACAGGAAGTTCAGGTGGGAGTTACACTTGAGAACAACCAAGTGCAGACGTGTTAAAACGTCATTCCCGACCGGAGCTGTAAGAGGGTCCCCTCCGTTTCAAACCAACACTTTAAGGCAGGCATTCAGTAAGGAAACCATCCACGTTTTCAAACATGCTTAGACTTTACTGAATGCATTGGTTATGTAAATACTGCAAAGTGGGTGAGGGGAGGCATAAAGATGGGTGGAGGGAGGATATGGTGAAAGAACAGCCCCCGAACCAGCCCCCAGTACCACGGTGTACAACTTGGGACAAGGTGTAGAGGAGAAACACCGCAAAGGGAAAGCCCTTGTTTCACGATCAGTTTTTGCTGTTCCATACTAGACGAACGCCCCTCTTCTCGCGTTCCTCTTCAACCCACGGGTAATGCAAAATATTCAGATTACTTTTGCTCTTTTCCGCAGCTTGGAGCAGCGTCTGTGATTCCTCAGATAATGCAGATTTGTCCAGTCTGGGGTGGAAAAGACAGTGTTCTCTTTATTTTCTTACATTTGCTAATTTGTATGTATTGGACAGGCACACGCTAGAGCACACATGTGAGGGTCAGAGGACTGCTCATGGGAGTTCATCCTCCCCCTTCTGCCAGGTGGGTTCCTGGTTGTCAGGCCTGGCAAGTGTCTTCACCCACCATGTCACCATCTCAACCTTCCCTAGGACTGAATGAGAAAAATGTACTGGGTGTGAACAGAGAGCATGATTCTCTCCCAGGGAGTAAGAAGCCCCATGCATATATGTATATGTATACATATATATGTTTATATATATATATGTAAATACATACATATATACATATATATTATACATCCTATATATGATATAAAAATCCATATAAAGCATTTACCTAGATGTTAAGATTAAAGTTAGAAATGTTGAAGTAAAAATAAAAATGCCCATTTTCACCCATTCGTTGCCTAAATGTGTTTATCATTTCTTCTTGGTGCACTATGACTTAGTATAGCATTACTTTTCCCAGACTTACAAACACTCGTAGTCACCAACCTCATGATTATTCATATTTAGCTTGTCCCTTTTCTGTCCCTACTCACCTTCTGTGAGACAGTTAAGCCGAATCCTACACCTTAGCTTACCCAAAAACACACCCCATGCTCACCCATTCTCACTGCCTGTTTTACCCACACCATCATCACTAAATTCACCTTAAAACAATACTGGGTCACAGACACTAAAGATTACCCAATGCTTATTGCCTTTACACGCGTTTTAAAAATCTACATGTTTACTCTTTGGGGATTTCCTATCATTACAATGTATTTTGATCACAACCTTTCCGCATTCCTCTCTGACCTGCCCACATGCCTTTCCTAACTTTATGCCCTGTTTCTGCTGGACAGCTCACCGAGTCCAACGAGTGATACCATATACGCGTGGCTGTGCCCCATCCGCTGGAGCACACACAACCTAGCAGGGCTTCGTCCCTGAAGAGAACGGACTCTCAGCAGCTCCTCAGCGGGGGGTGGGGTCTCACGAGAACCTCCCCTCTCCGTGTTGGAGTCTGGACTGGCTTGATCTTATGCAGGTCTTGGGTAGTCAGCCAGGGCTACTGGCAGTTCACGAGGATGTCTGCTTCGTCAAGTCCAAGAGATGCTGCTTTGTGGCAGTCCTCTCCATCTCTTACCATCTTCCTAGTCCTTCAATTTTCCCTGAGCCTTGGGAGTAAGATCACGCTCCCGCTTTGGTATATACATATATACCACAAACATATACACACACGCCATATATGTATACATATATATGTATGTGTGTATGTATATGTCTGTGTATATATACCAATATATGTATGTATATGTGTATATACATTTATGTATATATATAAATATATATAATATCTTAAGCAGTCAACACTCAACATGGTTAAATACATTTTCTTTCTTGAAAATTTCCCTTAGATTTTTGGGCGTTAGTTCCCCCCCCCCGAATTTCACAAGTTCAGATTGGAACACAGCTCTCCCTGAAAAAGTACAGTTGGCTTCCTCAATTTTATGCTCCCCTGTCTGCTCTTTTCTTGCCTGGTGACCACAACCAGGTTATTTCACCTTTGACTGCAGAGTTAACACCGATATGCCAGGCTCTTTTAGAGCTGCTGCCTGTTTCAGCTCCTGACTCTCCTTCAGCCAATACTGCCCCAACTGTAGCGTTCTCACTTCCATTTACCATCTGTGCTCGCACCCTAGACCTTGTCAACATCTTATCCTTGCCATAGTACTATTCTCTGTAGCTCAAGGATCCAAGTCAGCAGGGCAGAGGATTGACAAAACACTCATACATACAATCAGAACAGCTTTAAAAATTGGGCACTGAAATGTGTCATACCTTGAGAGACCATTATACAAAGTACACTATATATGTGAACTCATATTGATAAGCACCTGTCTTATTATCCTTTCCTGTTTCTTCTAAATTATTATTATTATTAGTTACCCACATACAGTGTGTGTGTGTGTGTGTGTGTGTGTGTGTGCACATTTTAGACTAGGGTCCATGGGAGAAAACATGTGGTTTCTTTTTGCTTCGCTATACTTCCAACTCCACTCTTTTTCTATACATCTTGTGATCTCGTTATTCTTTTGAGCTGAATGACAATTTTTAAACATCAGCCATTTTTTAAGAATATTTTTTTAAATGCTGATGATATTTGGAGTCCTAGCCACCAGAGTGTTATACTCACGAATGTACAGAATCAAGGATGGCCCTCGATGTCCTGCAGTGCGGTGGTGGACCCTCACGACAGAACTCCCCAGCCCCGTGTTACTGAGCTTGAGCAAGCCGTTCCCTGACCGTGGAGACAGTGTGTACTCACCCAAGCATCTTCAGGTTACAGTCTTTGCGACTCAAAGCCTCGCACAGCACCTCCACCCCAGCGTGGTCCAAGCTTATCCAGTCCAGATTTAGGCTGGTCAGCGTTTTGCAGGAGGTGAGCGCCAAGGCCAGGTCTTCACAACAGTCAGTCGTGAACTCACACATGTCTAACCTGTGGCAGAGAAAGTGCCAGAAAAAGACTGTTGTTCACTACCAGTTTCAGGTGTCTGAGAAAAGACCTAAACAGCCCCAAAGGTCCACAGTAACAACTCTGAGCAGATCGTGGTCTCAAATCCAAAGGGGCTGTGACCCACAGGTTAAGAACCTTTGTTCTGAATGCATAGCAGTATTCCTAAGCACTAATTCAGTTCTCACACCTCATTAAAGAAGCCCTTTTTGCGCTGGATTGGTTAATATGGAGACTCACAGCTGGCCAACGTTCAGAGAGTGACTACAGAGTACTCAGCCCCAAAGGAGGCATCTCTACATCCCCTCCCCCAACTCAAGGCTCAGGGAACACCACAGAAGAGGGGGCAGAAAGACTAAAAGAAGCAGGAATTGGGTGCGGGGTGGGGAGACACGACAGGAGCATTTCACTCACAGCGGCCATTGTTGCGTGCACAAGACCTTATGCATTAATGTTTTCTCAGAACTCCTGAGCCTCTGCTCAGTGGAATGCTTAACCCTATTAACCCTATAGCTTTTCCTCATCGAGTTGGGACCCCTCCCCACGGTGATGGTAGAGACTCACCCGAGACACTGCAATTTACAATTCTGATGCCTGAGAGCTCCACACAACTGTTTGACTCCAGCGTCCTGTATGTTGTTATTGCCCAGTTTCAGGGTTTTTAGATTTCTATTGCGAGTAAGGACAGCAGAGATTGCCTCGCAACACTCTGAAGTGAGGTAGCAACCAGACAACCTGGGAAGACACGCACGCAAACGTGCTTACTCACCGATCCGTTTGCCTGGATTCGCCGCCGTTCACAACTTGAAAGTTTAGAACTTCAACACTGCATCTGCACCCCTCCCCCCTCCCCCCATGCCTCCGAATTAACACTCTCTTCTTCATTGTCACACATACACGCACATGCTGTGTCTGTATGCATGCACACATGTATGTAACCTACAAGGTCTGTTTAGCCTTGCTTGCATGTACGTGTGTCCAGCGAATTGGATAATCTATGTCAGAGTTTGCCTCAGGAGGAGACTGGTTCTCCCTCTCTCACTCATTGAGCACCTTTCCTTTTAGAGACAGGGCCTCGGGTAAACCAGTGTGGCTCCAGACCCACTGCATAGCTGGGAATGACCTTGAACTTCTGACCATCCTATCTCTACCTCCCAGTGCTGAGATTTTAGGTGTGTGGTCATCACACCTTCTTTTAAGGCTGAGCTGGAGAATCAAACTCAGGGCTGTGTGTTTGCCGAGTAAGCATTCTACCAGCTGAGCTACAGCCCCAGTCCCTGAGATTCCATCTTAGCAGTTTGGCTTCTTTCTATGTGTATGAATCGGAAATGCTGGAGCACTTCCGGAATGCCGAGGATGCTTCTCCATCTGGGCTACTCTGCTCCAGATGCAGATTGCAGATTGGCTTGCTGCAATTCTCCTGCTTTGAGCTCTTCACCTGGTGCTTCTATTATTCATCCTGGCTAAAATACACGTGCCCCGAAAATCAGTGGGGCTACCTTGTCACTGATTTCAGATTTCTGTGTGTTACCATGTGGTAAACTTCTGACAGTTTTTAATATGAGCGCCATGTCCTCAAATCCCGTCCGAGCCTCAGGCTCATGGTTTCCCATGGCACTTTCAATCATGGTTAAGAGAGAAGCTGAGGGAGGGAAGGGAGATAATAGGTATAAGATAGGTAAAGGATGGCGCATATACAGATGGAGCATAGATGCTAAATACAGACGTTAGGCTGACCTTTGTTAGATGGATAATGAACATATAATTGATTGGTAACAGATGGTGATATGCAGGTGATTATAGGAAGAGGTGGATGGTACATAAGCAAAGGCAGTGTAATTTTAAACTGTAGGAATTCATAAATGACAGGTAAGTGGCAGATATGAGAAAGGCAGATATGTAGATACATAAACACACATTTTTAGATTCATGATGGAGGTATATATACATATGGATTTACACAGGTATAAAATGTGTGTGTCAAGCAGGGATGAATTTTATCCTCCAGGGGATGAGTCTAGGAAGATTTCAGGTTGCCACACGAGGACAAAGGGTGTTACTGCCCTCCACAAATCACAGCCATAACAAAAATGCCAATAGTCTAAAGATTTAGAAACTGGGACGTTTGCGCACAAACAGTACCCTTGTGCCTGATCTACGCACATGTACGCCACCTCAATTCTGTCAGAGGACTACACTCAGCCTTCCCCAAAAAAGATCACCTTCCCAAGCTCCCACTGGCCCTGACAAAACCCTGCGTGTTATTCAGCTGCAACTCAAGAGCAGTACACAACCCCCCCTTCTGACAACACCTCTGGTTTGGTTAAGACTAGAGTCGGCAAGGCGCTAAGCAGCCCAGAAAGAGTCAGCTGAAATAACCAGAGCCTTGTTTTCTCAAGGAGACCCCGTTCTCCGTGGTGTTTTAACCTGTTTGGCCTGCTGTAACATTAGACTGGATGGCTCATGGGCAGCAGATATGTCTGTCACACACAGTCCCAAAGGCTAGAAACCCAAGATCAAGGTATAAGCTGGTACAATATTTGGAGAAAGCCCGATTTCCTGGCCCATAGAGAAACCTTTATTTGTGTGTGCGCATGTGCCTGTGTGAGAGTGCGTGTACATGTTGGGGGATGCCCAGGAAGGCCAGGGAAGGACATTGATCCCTGAGCACTGGAGGTGCAGGTGATTGTGAGCCACCAGACACGGATGATCCAGATTCTGGTCCTCCTGACTCAGTAACAAGTGCTCTCAACCACTGTGCCATCTTTCTGGGAGTGATGGAGTGGTTGAGGCCATCTCTGAGGCTGCTTTATCAGGGCAGTCACTCATGGGGACACACCCTCATGACCCAATCACCCAGGACTCCCTGTCTTAAAATGGTTATCACGGGTGGTAGGCTTCAACAGAGATTCTGAGGCGACACTGTCGTTCATACCCCTACTGCTTTTATGCCAACATCTAAATGAGCACTTCCATCAGTGAATGATAACACAGCCCTACCATAACTCCTGGAGAGGGCAGGCTGGATCTTTCAGAGCTTCACACAGAATATTCACTCCAGTATCTTCCAGGAAATTTGACCCCAGATCAAGCAGAGAGAGGCGTTTGTTGCACAAAAGGGCTTCGTAGAGATGGCCACAGGCAATGAAGGTGAGACAGCAGTAAGACAACCTGGAAGAGGGCCACACGTCAGCAGCTCACGCCCAGCACATGCCTCTGCCAAGGCTTTCTTGTTCTTCCTGTACTGACTTTCCACTTTGCATTAAAAAAAAAAAAAAAAAAAAAAAAAGAATGGGCTGGTGAGATGGCTAGAGGCCCTTGTCACCAAGTCTGAGTGCTTGAGTTCAGTCCTATACGATGGAAGGGAATAGCAACTCTGGCACACACATACACACGCCACTTATGGAAACATTTTCAAACAATTTGGAAAGCTGATGTTATAGATCACCATAGACATTTCCAAAATTGAGTGCCAACTATCAACGTATTTGCAAAAACACTCCACCAATGAATATGTCCACCCATATCAGAAAGTCGCTGTCTCCCAGAATCCTGCCCTAGTGGGATATCTTAAGTTTTTATTTCCTTTGTTGTAGACAGGTGTGTGTGTGTGTGTGTGTGTGTGTGTGTGTGTGTGTGTGTGTGTCTGCTCAGGTGCATGTGAATGCGGAGGTCAGAGGACCACCTCAGATGTCACGCTCTGGAACACCAGCCACCTGCTTTGAGATGGGCTCTCTCACTGGCCTGGAACTCGTTTATTAGACCCGGATGGTTGTCCAGTGAGCCGCAGGGGTCCTGCTGTCCGCTTCTTCAGTGGGTCACTATTCCTGTCATGGGTTCTGGGGATCAAACTCAGGCCATCAAGAGCGGCAAGTGTTTTTAACAACTTAGCAATACTCCAGCCTGCTACTGTTATTTTAAATAGATTTTTCTAATCCTGTTCCCTGCATGAGCTAAAGACGAGGATTTTAAAGAACAAATGTTTAAAACGATTCATGATCGATGTCACTCTTTATGATTACTAATCACCGCGTATAATTCGATTCAGTCTACTATGTAAGATCAATTAGTAATTAAATAACCAAATAATTTTGTCTTCTAAGGTCATTTTCCTGCCTCTTCTGAAACAGCCTTCAACTTTTTATAGTGCATTTTTCTGCTTTTCTGTTATAGGCTTCACCTCAGGACTGGAGAGATGGCTCAGCATTTCAGATCATTTGCTGATCTTGCAGAGGACCTGGGGGTCAGTTTCAAGCACCCACACAGCACATGCTTGTGCTCTCAACCTCCTATACCTGCAGTTCCAGAGGACTAATGACCTCTTCCGGCTTCTGCAGGCTCATGTTCTAACATGCTACCCATAAACTCATAAGCATGCACATAAAATGGGTATATTTTTACTGCACATTAAGCATTCCTCATTGAAAAAAAAATGGATATTCCTGATGTTCCAAAATACAAAATGTTTTCAGAATCGCATGATATAATTAGGAAATTCTACCACTGCTCTCATGTATCCAAGCCTAGGTCAAAACACACCACAAAAGCACTGAAAATATTAGATAAAACTACTGTCAAGCCATGTGCACAACTTTTATACACCATCCAAATAAATTTCATGTCTGAACTTAGGGACCATCACCAAGGCTCAACAATATGCAAATATTACGAAAGATATGAAATCTGACACACTTCTGGTCTGCTCATCAGAAGTTCATGTCAGAGATACTTTTGATAAGCAGCTGTCTGTAATGGTCAAAATTCCCTGCTCTTACATTTTGTATGCTTGCTCCTATCTAAGCTGCACATGCTCGTGTTACCGCATGCATGCGTGATCCCAGGGGGGACAGCGATTTGTCTCCATACTCTTTCTTTTCCATGAAGCCAGGTGTCTTTGAGCCTCTTCCCTCTTAAGGCCTTTGATTGAAGGAACAGTGAGTTATCTAGTATGAGTCTGCACCCATGAGCAATCATCCTTAACCTCGGGCAGGAGGCAGCTCACAGTGCCTTACCTAGGTAAGATGTAGGAAGCCCTGCCTTGGAAAGATCAACGTTTTTCTTATTTATATTCTCCTCTATAGCCCAGGAAACCAATCTCTTTCCAGGGGCTTATTTATTTTCCACAATAATCACACTCATTAAGCTAAAAATCACGTACAAGGAGTTTCAGAACTAGCCTTGCCTTGTCTGAACTTGGCGTCATGGTGTCTATGTTTGCATTTGTTCTACTTACTGATATGGCAACTGAGGCAAGGAATGTGAGTGAGTCTAACGACCTGTCGTCCCATGTTCTCCCAAGGTCCTTCGTGGGCACTGACTACCTTTCTGATGGCTGAACCCACGTAAAGGGTTCCGCCACATCTCCAGAGCATGCTCCCCCAGACCAACTCACATCAATGTCTCCAAGACACAGCTCGGCCGCTTCAGGAGTTCGCACAGTGACACTACTCCTTTGTTCTTCAAGGGATTTTCAACCAGCGAGAGATGCTTTACCTTGCAGTACATGAGGGAAGTAGCAATTATGCCACATGCCTCGCTTGAGATGTCACATTTCCCCAACCTACATGTGAGGAACATGTCACATGTTAGAATAATAACGTTACGAGGTCTATGTGAGAACGTCTATTGTTGGGGGGAAAAAAGCGCCCAGATTCTGATCCCATACATACCAGTCCACAGTCACATCAGGGGCTTGATTAACTTATAAGTAGAATTGTGTGACTATCTTTGTGAATTGTAGAGTTCTACTGGTTGGGAATATGCCCAAGCCACAATGGTTTTCAGCTATGGATGACATTTACTCTCTAGGACCCATTTTTTAGGTGTCAGTTACAGAGCCCATTGTATTTGATCTGTGCTTCTGACTAGCTAGTGATAGACTGACATTCTTGCAGCCTATTCCTTGTGTTTAACTTATAGAGATCATAAGGCTTACGGGCTTTGTTATACCATTTGCCAGTTTAGTGTATTTAAAAGATATGATAATGGGAGTCTGGAGGGATGGCTCAGAGGTTAAGAGCACTGGCTATTCTTCCGAAGGTCCTGAGTTCAATTCCCAGGAACCACATGGTGGCTCACAGCCATCTATAGTGAGATCTGGGGTGCCCTCTTCTGGCCTGCAGACACACATGCAGGCAGAATACTGTACACACAATATTTTTTTTTTTAAGATATGATGATGGCTAATAGAACAGTCAGAGCCCATGTGCATGGATAATACCTGGACAAACCCCAAGTGTAAGAGCCTTTGCTGCGTGGATGGACAGTGCTCCACATGGGTATGTTTGCCAAACCAGATGACGCCTGTTCGAGATTCATTCTATCACTGATAAAACACTCTGACCAAAGCAACTTAGCAAGGAAACAGTTTGGCTTGCCCTTCCAGGTCAGTCTATCATTTAGGAAGTCAGAGCAGGGAACCTGGATGTAAGAATCATGGAGCTGCTTGCTGGTTCATACTCAGCTAGCTAGACTTCTTATAATGACCAGACCCACCTGCCCGGTGAACCACGCCCACTCAGAGTAGCCTGAACCCTCTTATATCAATTAACAATCAAGGGAATTGCTCACTGATATGCCTAACACATATCACCTTAATAAAGATAATTACTGAACTGAGACATTCAATTTGACCTGAAGAAGACAGTTAATGTTAAGCAGGGTACTACTCTGAACTTTGGGAGATTTTAAATGGAGGCTTTACCATATAAGTATGACTGGCTGACTCCAAATTTATCTTAACACTGAGGACAGGAGATGAGAATAATAGTTACAGAACATAGTCCTAGCTTGGGTCTTCTGGGGACTGGCCACTATGCAGTATTCCACCAAACATCACCTTATTAGAATAAAAGTTGATCCTGTCACCTGGAAAGCGCCCAGAGGTTGGAAGTTTCATGTTGGGAATCAAGGCAACAGACCAAACAAACATCATTGAAAATGGTCCTGCTACTACCACTAACTGTCATGAAACTGCAAAGGTTTGTCATTCCCTTACCCAGCTGGAGGAAAAGGCCAAACTGCACATTGCTAATTGTAAGCCAGCATACCACAAATGCCAATGGAGATAAACTCACATCTGAGCCATCACGTCGCTTCAAAACAGTACATCATCAGTACCCTGCCAACTTCAACTCATGCTCATGCCATTTTCACATGGCCCAGTTGCGTGGCTGCCTCCTGTAATTTCGTCTCTAGCCTTCCATCAAAGTCCTCATGGGACTTTTATTTACAGATTGTCTCTGTGCTGACAGTTTTTACAAAGTTCTTCTGCAAGTTGACCTCTGACATCTATGGGTGCCTGCTCCATACACTAAGTAAATAAATAAATGTAATAGAAACCAGATGTGCTATTATGTTGGTATTCAAACCATTAGAAAAAAAAAGTCAAAAAAATACAAAGGGAAAAAAATTTAAGAAAATGAACACCAACAGAATATAAGTGAATGAGGTCAAAGTGCATTATAAACATGGGTGAACATATCATAATGTGAGAGCTAGAGAGATGGATCAGCAGCTATGAACACTTGCTGCTTCGACAGGGCTAGAGTTCAGTTCCAGGCACCCACACCAGGTAGCTCACAACTGCATCTGATTCCCTCTTGCTTTTAAAGGTACCCACATACAGACTCCTGCACACATGCACACGGGCAAACATGTTTAACAAAGAGAAAGAGAAACTGTCAAAATGGAACTCAGTTTGTACCACATGTTCTAATGCAAAGCACAACTCTCACAGCTCAGCCTTAAAGGGGGGTTTAAAGAAATCGTGACACCACCACCCCCACGCCCCGAGTGTGGACAGTGGACTTACAGTAACTCCTTCACGCTGCATGTTGAGTATTTCAGAGCAGAGCACAGATTCTCAACCACATCCTTTGAGAGGTTAGTGCCATACAGGTTCAGGGATTTCAGCTGAGGCAGCTTAAAAAACGTGTGAAATAATGAACCATCTCCGAAGTTAGTCATGAAGGAACACCTGCAGAATAAGGCCAAAAGGCACGGTATACCAGGATGTGTGGGTCCACGGCGAACCAACCTGCGGACATCCTTGCCCACACTTCCTCTTACATGCCATGGTTGTTCGGGCATTCTGGTCACCCCAGGAGAGGTGTCCCTGCTTATCTCCAGGTGCCAGACAAACACCATGGTCAAGCTACTCAGACCTATCCCTTTTCTTCCATTCCCCCATATCTGTCTAACACCTAGAACATTCTAAGGAGACTCGCTCTCACATTAAACTCTGAACATTGCCTGTCATAGCTAATCAAGGTTGTCAACTTGACATTATCTAGGGAAAAGGAACCTGAATTCAGGAATTGCCTCCATCAGACTGGCATGTCTGTGGGGAATTTTCTTGGTCAGTAATTGGTATAGAAATGCCAATGTGAGAAGCATTACCCCTGGGCATGTATCTCTAATCTGAATAAGAAAGGCTGTAGACAGGCCATGGGGAGACACACCAGTAAGCAGCAGTCCATTATGGTCTCTGCTTCAGTTCCTGCTTCAGGTTCCTGCCCTGATCCCTCTTGGTGATGGACTATGACCTAGGAGCGGTAAAATTAAGTAAACACTTTTCTCCCCCAGGATGCTTTTGATCGTGGTGTTTATCAAAGAAACAGAAACCAAACCAGAATAACAGCTCATGCACAACACAGACACTTTCTTTGTACTAATGTTCCCAGCTGCGTATCCCAAGGGAAGGGCCCATTGCTCTTTAAATACTTATGTTTTCCTGTTCTTCGTTTGTTTTGTGAAACAGGGTCTCACTGTGTAGCTGTCCTGAAACTCACTCTGTAGACTAGGCTGGCTTCAAACTCAGCGATCCACCTCTATCTGCCTCCCTAGTGCTGGGATTAAAGGGCGTGCTGCCACCACCACCTCATTTAATATGCACCGATTTTTAAGGCATTATTATCTATAATTTTCATAGATTGGGTTCTAAAAAAAAAAAATCAAGAAAATTAGAAGCAAATTGTTTGCTTTTTATATTTATTCCATTTTCAAGGTTGGAAAAATGTAGCCAAACTTACACCTGGCCAAGTTTCCTTATGATAATAAACAGATGTCAGCATGATGACTAAGAAATGAACATTGGGCTGGGCAGATGGCTCAGTGGCTAAGAGGACTAGAGTTCAGTTCCCAGCACCCACATCGGGAAGCTCACAACTAAGGATAACTCCAACTCCAGAGGACCCAACTCAGATGCACACATACATATACCCAATTAAAAATAATTTAAAAATCAGACCCTTAATTCACATTCATTGCAGTCCCTAAAATATAGAAATCCCTGTTGTGTGTTATTTTAGTACACATACACTAGATGTTTAGGCATTTATAGACTATATATAAGTCAGATGTGTGTGTGTGTGACATAGAAAACTTTATGTGACTCGGGTACTATTGTATTTGCTACTTTGGATGTTAGTTCTGCATTTATCTATGCATTAGTCTCCTCCACAAGGAAGAGAGAAGTTTTTTTTTTTCTATCTGCTTAAAAGTTTTTTTTTTTTTGATCTGCTTATCAAACTTACAACAAGCTTTGGAGCTCAAAAACATCCAGAGGCATTGTATGAGATGGAGACATAGAATCACAGAGAATCTGAATGGCCTCTTCATTGAAATGACAGCTGTCCAGATCCAATACATGCAAGTTATAGAACATTCTGCATAATATAGCCCAATGTTTAGTTGCAATTCTGCAATGAGATAACACAGCATCATTCTCTAGTTACTAAATTCAATTCAAGACACTCCTAAGATAGGCAGATCACTCCCAACCCCCTCAAAGCTGTCAGTTACCCTTGACACAGGGAATTCATCCAAGTAAAATGGGTCAACACAGCATAGTGATTAAGAAAGATCCCTGGTTAGATAGCTCAGGGGTCAAGACCCACTTGGTGCTCTTGCAGAGGACCCAAGTTTGATTCTCAGAACCCCTGTGGACACCAGAGGCATTGTACTCACATGGCACACAGACACACACCCAGGTGAAACACTCATATACATGAAATACAAATAAATCTCTAAAAAAGAAAGGAGAGAGGAAAGAAGAGGGGAGAGGGGAGAGGAGGAGACAAGGAAGAAGAGAGGGGAGGAAAGAAGAGACAGGAAAAAGGGGGAGGAGGGGGGAGGGGAGAAAGAAAAGCGGACAGGAGGGGAAGGGAGGGGAGGGGAGAGGAGGGGAGGGGAGGGGAGAGGAGAGGAGGGGAGAGGAGAGGAGGGGAGAGGAGAAGAGAAGAGGGGACTGTGGGCTACAAAATTCCATCTTCTGGGCATAGTACAGAAGTCTTGATCCCACAGCAGGTACAGATGCCTTCATTGGCCTGCAAAAGACCAGGCCCGATATAATAAAACCGGGGAGAGGCTCACCCAGCTCTACCCCTCCTTGCTGAACTATTGCCTTCTGGGGGAGGACCAGCAATCTTCAGTGTTGGACCCACAAGTGAGCCCACCAGGCTCTAATGCACAGTCGAAACCCAGGGACAAACTGATATCCCTAGTTAAACTAGATAACTGACAAAACAGAAAGCCATGAATATGAGAAAGGGACTTGGTTCTGTTGCTCGCCTGTGGAGCTCTTGTCCCCTCCAGATGAGACCTTATAGGCTATGGTCAGATAGAAAGGAAAGAGGACCTCCCCTATCAGTGGACTTGGAGAGGAGCATGGGAGGAGATGAGGGAGAGAGTGTGGGGTTGAGAGGAGATGAAGGAGAAAGGGTGGGGTTGGGAGGGGACAAGAGAGGGGGCTACAGCTAGGATACAAAGTGAACACATTGTAATTCATATAAAAAATTAAAATTAAATCAAAAAATCAAAATTGAAATAAGAGAGAAAGGAATGTGTAAAGAAGTTGGAGTGATGGTGTAGAAGGGAAACAGAGCTGAGTAGAAGGTGAGAGTACCAGAATGTATTATATATTGGAATAAAATTACAAATGAATACATTGGATAAAAATTATAATGAAGCGTGGATTGAGAGGAGATAAACCAGAATGGAGTTTCTATAGAAGACTCATTGTTAACATCTATATCTCACTGCTGAAGACATCCAACCTTACTCTGTTCTCTAGTGCCTCCTGTTTTAGTCAGAAAACATCTCTATGTGAATTAGGGTGGAAAGGCTATGCTCAATAATATCAGTAAAAAAATTACACATTTGAAAGATCAAGTATGAGCTAGCAGCCTAAATTCAATGCAGGGCAAGTCAACTAGAGCAACATAGTATAAGCACAATCTAAAAAAGGACACGAGTTCCCAGAATCCCCTTGTGTCACCAGGACACTGTGAACATACCACGGATGAAGGAAAGGAGTCAAATGCTGCAATGAAGCTGTTCACATTTCCACCTCACATTGGCCCTGTGGCAAATTTGTTCTTTGTATAAATGGAGGAACTCAGAGCTATGTAGCTCTGAACAGCAGTGTTAAGACTCAACAAAGTCTTTCTGACTATGCCATCTAAACACTCAGACATACAAGAACTTACACAATACCATGCTGGAGAGAGGGATCAGTGGGTAAGGGTATTTGCTGTGCAAGCATGAGAAACTGAGTTCATGTCTGCATTCCTGACATAAAAAGCTGGCCATGATTGCTTGAAGGTATGCCCCAGCCCTAGAAAATGGAGACAGTAGATCCTGTTATCTTACTGATCGGTTTAGTCAAAATGGTAAGAGACTGTCTAAAGGGTTTAAGGCAGAAAATAGAGAAAGACACCTCACATCCTCTGAGTTCGTCATGAATTCACATGGATACAGCATGCACGCAAATACACCTATAAAATAATGTGGTGGGCACGGAGGCAAAATGAAGAACAGGAGAAGGTTCAGAGGTATACTCACTTTTTCTTCTGTTCAAATGATTCTGAGGTAAAATGTTCTGGGTCAAACACTTCCGGAAAAACTCTCTTTTCTATATGAAGGTGAAGTTTCTTTAATTTTGTGGCTTTCAGCAGACTATATGAAATATCTGTTACTACATCAGAATTACTAATATCAACAGTCATTTCTTCAAATACATTCATCACTTGTGTTACAAATCTTTCCTCCTGGCTGTCAAGTAGACAGCTGACCAAATTCAGGGGACTCAACAGTTTCTCATTGTTCTCTTGCTGACTGAGACTTTTAAGGTAGTTAATGATTTCCTGTTTTATCTCTCTGGATGGTAGAAGCCCAAAGCACGGTCTGAGCATGGTGGTGACTCTTTCAGCAGTAATTCCAAACACAAATATTCCTGTCTTGAGCCATCGGGTCTGTCCATGAGCAAACAATTCTCTTAGGAGTTGAGATAGGCTTCCAATGACTGAACGAGGTTTGTCTTTGTCTTTTCTGAGGAAGTAGAACAGTGCAGCAAAGTATGACTGTAGCTCAGGATGATAAAAGGTGATGCTCCTGCCCTGATTCCGGAGAAATTTCATTCTCAGCCACACTGCCTTTTCAAGTTCGGATATCCCGTTCCTCCTGAGATCCTCGGAGTCAAACACAAATTCCTGTGTCCACATTCCCTCTACAGCCAAGGTACACAGGGTCTTTAACCTGGCTCTGTTCTGATTAGATTGAATATTGGCAAACATTGATTTGAATGCATTCACCAAAAAGCATGTGTACGTAGCTGCATCTGTGCCACCAATCAAGACCATGTCACCTCCCCTGTCTACCTGCCACTTTAAAGAGTTACAGAACAACCAGCATAGATAAGGACTCCGGCATAAAACAAAATATGGTGGGTTCTGTTTGAAAAGCTCAAAGACATCTAAGCCCCTCTGGTGATGGTCAAAGAAGGACATGCAGTAGAACTCTATAGACTCCTCACTGAACCCTCCAATAGTTATCTCCCGTGGATACTGCAGCAAGAGACCAATTTTGGGCAGACTTCGGTTTCCCAATTCAAGCAGCAGAGAGGATTCTGGAAGCATTTTTTTCTGAAGCAAACTGCTAAAGACAATTTGTGTTGGTAGGCTTTCCCTCCAGTCATCAGACAAGTTTGTCCTAAGTTCCAAGTCAAATTTCAGGTAATCAAATCCATCCAGGATAAACAAGATTCTCCTCGGATGGGATAAAATGTCATCCACTGTCTCTGAAGACTCAGGTAACTGGGTTGAGATGAGCTGAGCTAAACTTAACTCTGTAATATTGTTAAGCGTAAAGACAGGGATGAAGAAAACATACCTAAATCTGTTCTGCCATAACTTTCCTGATGCCCAGTCCAACATTGCTTTTCTTAAGAAGATGGTTTTTCCTTCTCCTGTAACACCTAGGACCACCGCCGTGACTGGTTCTGACTCAGAATCAAATACCTCTTGCAGTGCCCTGTACTGGGGCCCTATAATGACTTGGTAGTTTCTATCAGGAATATGAGTGTTGGTCTCAAAGTTCCATATACGTTGAAATGCAGTCTTCATATGCTCTTTGTATCTAGTTTGTTTATCTGAGTTTGATGAAATCATAATACAAGGCAGTCAGGAATAGGATACTCATGAGAATGAAACACAGTATTTAAATGTATTAGACAATGAATGATCTACACATCTTGATGACCAGTGAGGCCATGAGTCCTGAGAAGAGGAAAAAAGGGAGGAAAGCCACCCACCCCTTACCATGCAATTTCTCTTCACCTGCACCTGCTGCCAGTTTTTTTCCCATTACACTATGAACAAAAAATGGTCAGGGACCCACTCTAACCCCAACCAGCCTGTTCCTTCTATACCCACACCTCTCAATAGTGCATGTAACTCTTCGGAAGCTTGTGAACAGAAGCAGGGACTCAAACCCCCATGATAAAGGGTGTATATGAATATTTCAGTGCCAATAGAGGAGAAGGGGATAGTCAAACGGTAGTTAAACCAAATAACCTGGGACCCTTCTAGATCAATTGTCTTCCATATATAGGGACCATTCTCTACCTAAAATTCAATAAAGCAAATCAATTTTACTTCCACTTTCCCTGGAACTCTTCCTGCTGTTCCATTCTTTAATTCAGAGAAAATTAACTCCCCAGCTAGCCAGGATCATCTTAGTACCCAACATGAGGCTCAAACCCCAGAACCTCTGTTGGTTATTTCCCCATATCCAAGGTTATAATATATACTTGACATATTGCCTGTAAAAGAATTATGACCAAATTGGAAACTTACCTCTAAGTAACTGCTACTATAAAGCATAAATTCTGGGTATCTATTGCATTACAGATTTATGAAGGGCATGGCACCTCCCCAAGAGAAAATCTACAAGTACTTCATATGTACATAATTTCATGAGTTAGGACTCAGAATGGTGCTATTTAGTCTAAACCTTTCCTGTCTTCAGTAAGTCATTTAAGAGTTGTTCTATTTATAAATTTTCAGTTTGACAAAAATGTTTATAATTCCATGCTTAGTCAAAGCAAGATTTGCTTCAGGTAACAAGACAGAGTGAAACAAACTTTGGGGCTATATGATGTCGAATCTATGGGTAACACTCCTGATCAGGGTGTCAGGTTGGCCTGGGTTAAATCATATGCGTCTCACAGTATTAGATATGTTATTTAATGTATCTGGATCGATGTCCTCAGCCAAGTGAGATCAAGAGGACGGTTTCTTTTGTTGTTCATGGAGGTAGTGAGCTGGCCACTGGTGCGTGAACAATGCCACAATTTGGTATTTTCTCATGAGCTTCTTCCGGTATCAGGATTTCGGAGAGCAAGCGCCTACTGTCTTCTGAGATCTGCTGGGGCTTGTGTCAGTGATTGGTGCATTAGAAATGTTCAGCAAGTTAAGAGAACTTGCTGTTCTCCCAGAGGACCCGGGGTCACCTCCCGGCACTGATACAACCACTGCCACTAGGTTCAGCTCCTGGGATTCCCGCCCTCTGATCTCCACATTTACCCAACTGTACACTCTCACAAATAAGTACATACATAATTATGGGTTGGAGCGGCAGGCAGCTCGCAGGTTGAAAGTGCACACCGCTTTTGCAGAGGACCTGAATAAAGTTCCTAGCACCCACATCAAGTGGCTCACAAACGCTTACAGCTGAAGAGGCAGGGGACATGACACCTCTGGCCTCCAGGAGCCTACGCTCCCGGCACACCTCCACATAGTCACTCCCACACAGAAACGTAATTCAAAATAAACCTAAAAACAGGAAGTGTAAAAACTACGGTAAAAGTTTTGTGACACAGTGAGTTTGGGTGGTTTAGGGAATGTGGCCTTGCTGGAGAACGGTGTGGCTTGGGGCAGGCGTTAAGATTTTAGAGCCTCACCCCGGTTCCAGGAAACTCTGTCTGCCTCATGCTTGCAGTCGAGATGTGATCTCAGCTTCCTGCTCCTATCCCCATGCCTGTGTGCTGTCATGCCTCTTGTCATAGCAGACCCCTACCACTTTGGAACCATAAACCAAAATAAATTCTTCTTTCATGAATTGCTTTCAGTCATAGTCAGAGAACCACGAAAGTAACCGGTGTGATAACCGTGTCCAGCTCTTTCCAATGTCTTGCGTGCATGCGTCTAATCGCTCTGTGCCAAATAGCGGATGTCACAGAGGTAGTGACACTGATCATCTTGCTGCAGCCTGACAAGTCACAGAAGGGCAAGCTGAAACAAGCGGTTCCAGATTCATGGTTATTTTCGATGGACACTTCTGACATTTATAGCACCTGTTAAATCATGGTTCCGCCAAAGGATGTATGTTCTGCCAAAGGCTGTATGTATGAACAACAGACAACTTTGGACATGGAGAGGATTTAGATGAAATGTGAGATGATCCTCCCCTCCAGAAGGATTTTGACATGCCCCACTAGGAGCTACTCTAAGGTTATAAATCCCTCTGCTGCCTTGAGAAATTCATAGGAAATAAAGATAAAGTCTCTATGAAAGGAGATGAAGGCCTCTTCTTAGCACTTCATATCCGGTTAAAAGCATGAGTAAGTACTATGATAGACTTCCATCATAGCTAAGTATGTCACACTGTGTACCTGTAACCCCAGAACTCAGGAAGCTGAAGCAGGAAATCATGAGTTCAAGACAAGTCTGGTCTATATAGCTACTCTGAAGCCAGCCTGAGCTACACACAGTGAGGTATTTTCAAAGACAGAAAGAGCAAACAAAAGAAGGGGGAGACAGAAAAAGGAAGGTAGAGAAATGCCATAATGTATTGTTTTGTGTGCTAGTTTTTAAAAAGCAAAAAGAACAGTTATCTTGGCTAGCTGAAGAAATGTTAGGACCTGCCTTATTTGTCTCAATCCATCCTACATTTTGGTTTTGGGAGTTATTTTTTTTTTTTGTGGCTTTTTTGTTTGGTTTTGGTTTTTGCCTTTTTTGGTAATGGTCCTGTGCATCCGGACAGACGCTCCTGCCTCAGTTAAAGGATGACCTATACATGACACCTATTGGTTTCTTCAACCTTTCCCTAACCGTTGGGACAGGTGGGCAGTCATGCAACAGTGAGTCTCCTTCACATGATGGTTGTTAGCCAGCTGCCTGGACAATTTCACATGCTCTTGGGACCCTTTTCCTCCTCCCGTGTTGCCTCCTCCAGCCCCATATGAGGGTTTGTCCCTCGTCTCGTTGTAACCAGTCATGCTGTCCTTGGCTGCTATTCCTGGGAGGTCTGCTCTTTTCTGAAGGTAAGTGGAGGAGCAATATATGTGGGGGAGGGAGGACTGGAGGAGTGGAGGGAGGGGAAACTGCAGCTGGGACAGAACTGAGAGAATATTAAGAAGAAGAAACAGGAGGAGGAAAAGAAGCAGCAGCTCCTACTTGACTACTTCCTACTTCCCCATGTGTCCCCCTTTCTCTCCACACTCACCTCTCCTCTGTTTCTGAACCATATTTGAGAGGTCATTCCGATTGACCTGTTGAAACAGGCTCAACACCACGTCCCATGTCTGTCCTGGATAATGTGTGTTCAATAGCGTTGCCAGATCTTCTTTGGAAGCCTTCTCAATCCTAGTCCAGGAGATTGGCTTCAGATTAAATTTCTTTGGCTCTTTCCTGAGAAGCTCTTTAAATGCCAGGAACTCTTCATCACTGAGCTTTTGCAAATACTGCAGTAAGTCATAGTCAGGTGAGTCTGCCATGTTGGACAGTAAGCTCAGAGTATAGAGGCTAATAAATCTTCAAGAAATAAGTGACACCTGAGGAAGAATAACATAAGAGTCCAGTCTCAACAACTTAAAGGCTCGAATTATTGACATTATACATTCCTTCCTTCAGATATATGTGGCTTCATCCTTTACTCTTTCACTATAATTTACGTGAATCTGTTAAATTAATGGCTGGGCAGTTGTGGCACGTACCTTTTATCCAAGCACTTGGAGGCAGAGGCAAAAGAATCTGAGCTCAAGGTCAGCCTGGTCTGCAGAGCAAGTTCCAGAACAGCCAGGGTACACAGAGAAACACAGACCTGTTTCAACAAGTCAAAAAAAAAAAAAAATAGCTTTACGCTATTTAAGACCACAGTCAGAGAATGAACCAACTAAAAAAAAAAAAAAAAAAAAGGTCAATAAAGCAGTGAAGTTTATCAATAGAGCCAAGGAAGGAAGAACGGTTGACAATTTTTGCCTTTGTGCCTGCCACCATATACTCCTAGGGGACACATCTCAACCGAATGCTTTATGAGAACCTCTATATGAATATTAACACACTGTTTGATACTGGATGTTTTAAAACAATGTTTGGTCTATCCTTAATAAGTCAAAAATATTTGGTATCAGAAGTGCTGAGGGGGGCAGAAGGGAAGAGGGAGTGGAGGGTGGGAGTGGGGAGACCAGGAGAGAGAACGACCTGTGACATCTCAGACGGGGGGGCTCCTGGGAGTCTAGGGGGTGACCCTAGCTCCTAGCAGCTGGGGATATAGAACCTGAAGTCACCACTTTGTGTGGCCAGGCGAGACTTCCAGCAGATGGATGGGGACACCAACACGCCCATAAAATTTTCCACCAACATTTGCCTCATCTACAAGAAGTGTAGGGATAAAGATGGAGCAGAGTATGAGAAAATGACAAACCAATGACTGGCCCAACTGGAGACCCATCCCATGGGATAGGGTCAACCCTGACACTATTAATGATACTCTGCTATGCTTGCAGACAGGAGCCTAGCATAACTGACTTCCGAGAGACTTCAACAGCTGAGGAAACAGATGCAGAGACACACAGCCAAAGAACAGGCTGAGCTCGGGGAGTTTTGAGGAAGAGTGGGAGGAAGCATTGAGGGAGCTCAAGGGGTCAAGGACATCACAAAAAGACCTACAGTAAACTGACCTGGGCCTATTTGTAGCAGGGGGTGACATAGAGACCAAACCACCAACCAAAGAGCCTGCATGGGCTGGACCTAGGCCCCTCCACATATGCAGCAGGGGTCAGCGTGGTCATCTTGTGGGTTCCATAGCAATGGGAGTAGAGGCTCTGTGCTCCCTGCCTGTGGTCCCTTCCCCTTAGCTGGGCTGACTTGTCGGGCCTCAGTGGAAGGGAAAGCAGGATGAGTTTAGTCCTGCACTAGCTTGAGATGCCAGCAAGGGATGGTACCCCTGGGGAGCCTCCCCTTCTGAGAAGATGGGAGTATGGGGGGAAAGGGAGCATGAGGGTGGGACTGGAATCAGTCTGTAAGGTGATTACATTAAAAAGATAAATAAACTTTACAAAGAAAGACAGGCCAGGTGTGGAAGCACACACCTCTATCCCAGCACTCAGGGAGGTAGAATCAGGCAGATCTGAGTTCGAGTCCTCCCTGGTCTACAAAGCGAGTCCAGGACAGCCAAGACCACACAAGAGAAACCCTGTCTCAAAAAAAAAAAAAAAAAAAAAATTGCCCGCATGTATACCTATGAACAATGTACATGCAGTACTGTGGAAACCAGAAGAGGGCATCAGATACCCTGGGAAGTGAAGTTATAGTTGGTTGTGCGGCGCCACGTGGGTGCTGTAATAGACCCCAAAGGGGTCTCAGCTCACAGGTCGAAAACTGCTCCACTAGAGGGTTATATTCAAACAGAACAGCAGCGGCGACGACAAAGCTTTCAAAAGGCTCACAGGAAACTCAGAAAATCAGAATGGCTCCTACAGAACACGTACTGAAAGTTTCAGGGTTACACATGTAAGAAATAGGCACAGCCACATCCACTGGGAATGGGGAGAGTCATGAAGCCAGCACAGCTGCCTTGATGCAGTTTGAGCAAAGCTGAGCTGACGGCTGCCATCCCTGGCCTGTAGCTTTTCAGTTTTGGTCTCCGTGCGAAGCATTTTTTGGGGACTTTCTGCATTATGATTCCATTTACAGGTTTTCCTGAGAGAAATTACGTCTGAGTCTTTTTTAGGAAAATCCTAAAATTAACTTTATCTGGCCACTATTTGGAAGAATTTCTTATGCCCTGGAGATCATTAAGCGCAGAGAAGCACATGGCTAGATGAGACCATTACTCCAGGGATCTGCTTGGGGTATCTGACCCTGAGCTAACTCAAACAACATAATTGGTGCAGGGTAAACAGGGACAATTGATACACTCTGACTAGCCAGAAGAATGGATTACAGATTCAAGGCCTCTTTCAGTAGGCCTCTCTTACTCAAGGCTTACAGATTTTTGAGAACATAGTCTAGGGGCTGGTGAGATGGCTCAGTGGTTAAGAGCACTGACTGCTCTTCTGGAGGTCCTGAGTTCAACTCCCAGCAACCACATATAAGGAATCTGATTCCCTCTTCTGGTATGCATGAAAACAGACCATTCATATACATAAAGAAATAAATAAATCTTTAAAAAAAAAAAAAGAAAACGTAGTTTAAACATACGATACACTTCTGAAGGAATAAAATTCAGAAATAAGATAGAGTGACTAAAATAAACTTTTTCTGCTTTATAGTGTAAATGATGAAACATATAGTTAAAGGAGTTAGGCATTAGTATTTGTTATTCATAAAAAGACCTATTCAGATATTTTCCGTTTGTCTGGAATGTTCTCAAACAGCAAACATTGCCAGCCTAAAAGCAGACTGTCACATATTAAATGTATTTGCTTTAGAAGAGACAGTCTCTAAACTCTTTAAATTGGTATTATAGTGATGATGATGATGATAATCTGTTCTGTTTCTAATTTCTAATTGTAACTGAGCCTGTAATCCTGGACTTGTAATGAAAAATCAAACACACACTCTGTACTACTTGGATAATCATTAGTCTGTCTTTGTTCTGCAAAACTTATATAAGTAAAGCAGCACCTGACTGCTTAAGTCAGAGCCACAGAGTTGGGCTGCTAGAAAGCCAGCGCCCCAGAAGCAGCCCGGCTGCTAAATTCCTCTAACTTACTTCCTCCCCTCATCTGCTCTGCAGGCACCCTGTCAGCAGGGCCCTCCAACCCTTCCGTGATAAGGAAGACCCCCCAGCAAAAAATGAGTTTGAGTAACTGGATTTACAACAAATCCAGTCTCACTGCAAGATAGATACTGCAATCATGTTCCCCTCGCCACATGGCAGCTCTGTCCTAACTACATTTAATCACACAATTCAGACCATCACCACATCTGTCTCCATAGTGGTTTTCAATCTTTTAAAACTGAAATCCTAGCAGTCAAAAAAGAAGCTCACTTCCCCTGGCAATCATTAGTCTACTTTCTATCCTGAGGCCTTTCTTTCCACCCCATCGTTTTTGTTTTGCTATTTGAGACAGGGTTGCATTATCTAGCCTTAGCTGGCCTGGAACTTGTTATATAGACCAGGCTGACCTCCAACTGAGATTTTTATGTTTATAAATGGCTTGCCCACATGCATATCTATGCAACCACATAGGTACCAGCATCTTCAGAGGCCAGAAGGTGGCACTCAAGCCCCTGCCATTGGAGTTACAGATGGTTTTGAGCCACTGTGTGGGTGTTGGGAAGAAAACCCAGGACCTCTGGAAGAGCTGCAAGTGTTCTGTCCAGGCCCAGAAGGAAAAACCTCACTCTTGGGACGTTATAGGCTAGGGCCCTTATAGGGTTGTTATATACAGGAAAACGTCTGTTCTTGAGTTTGGCCATCTCACTTGATATTACGCTTTCCACATCCACCCATTGCCCTACAGACCTCATGATTCCTTCTTTCGTTGTAACTAAATAACATTCCATTGTTTATATGTCCCACTTTTTCATCATTAGAACTCATTTGTCTTATAATCTAACTTAGTGCCCAGTGGGCAACCTTTCTCCACCCCTTCTTTTCCCCTTTCCTCCGAGTATTAACCTTTCTTCTCTCTACTCCTATGAGGAGATCAATTCCCTGTCTATAGGATTTGAATTAATTTAAGTGCCTTTTAGAAGTGGGCTCACACAGCATTTTCCTTTTCTGATTGATTACCCGTTAGGGAAAGGGGAGAGCTATAAAGACACATTATAAATAATTATCTTGACTATCAGAAACTCCAAAAAATCAGCAACAAAGAGAAGCAATTTGATTCAGAATAGGTAAAACTATACCAATAGTCACGCAAATGTGTTTCACATCACTAATCACTAAACTTCAAATGGACACCCTCTCCCATCCATTAGGAGGGAAACTATCAAAGCATCAAAAACACATGTTCAGTCATCACTTTCTGAACCTGAAACCCCGGGCTCCCTTTAAAAAGACAACTAAAAAGTTACCAAATGAAGACAAAAATCCTAAGAAGCCACACGTAAATTTTTAAAACAGGGTGCCACTGTGTAGCTCTGGCTGGTCTGGATCTCACTATGTAGAACAGGCTGGCCTCAAAATCACAAAGATCCACTGCCCATGCTTCCCAAGTAAAAATTTAAGCATACATTTTAATATCACTTAAAAGAAAAACTAAATTTACTTATACAGAAGTGAATATCTACATAGATAAACTGAAAGTTGAACAAGCAAAATAACTAAAAGCTCTTTTCCATTTCTATAGTTATAGTATATACAACACATAGAACCTGCAACTTAATAGGTATGCAGTGCAGGCAGCATAAAGATAAATGTGTGGAGAGTTTGGAATTGAAACCTGGCAGTCTCCCTCCATCAAAACAGAAAGTGAGCCCTACCTTTGTCCCACAGTTTCACCATCTAGAATCAATTTTCAAGTAACAGCTGCTCACATGC